TATTTTCTCTTAAATTAACTGGCTTAATCATTTTATAACAGTCTTTCCACATCATTGTCCAGTGATCAATGTCAATATTATAACCAAAATCCCTTGCCCATCTTACCATTGTCTCCTTCACCCTCTCATCCTCCATTTCATATTCCAATAGATATGTATACATTTTCTTTATTATTTTCTCATCAGAGTGGATCCAGAGTTTATCTACCTGTACTTCACCTTCAAAAAAGCCCAAAATTCTATCTTTTCTGTATCTTGATTCTAGTTTGTTCAGTGACCACCAGACTGTTGCCACCCCTAATTCCTCTAATTCTTGTTTGCTTTTTAGCTTCTCTATTAAGCAATTCTTTGTAATTTAACAACATCCCTTTCTGATTCATCACTTTCATCGAAAATGCCTCTATGGGGGAGAAATGACAGTCTTTAGTCAATGTACATCCATCAAAATTAATAATGCAAGATTCTTTTAAGAACTATATACAGGAGTTTCAAATGAACATTATCAATCAATTTAAGGATCAGATTAATGCCCAGACGCCGGAGATTAAGGCGGTAACTTCAGGATTTAAAGAGGATGCAGAAAGGAATATTCAGAAGGGAGGCCATTTCAGCAGAGGAGCGGGAGCACCAGAAAAAGAGATTTGAGAATTAAGATTGAAGGATGATAAAATAATGGGCTTTTATGAGAGGAAGGCCCAAGTGGATGAGCTGTGGATTTATACCAATAAGAAGATTACTTAAAAATGTATATTTGTTTGTTAGAAGATAATTCAGAGAAGGAAAGGGTGAAAGCAGTGATGATGGAAGGGGTACAAAATCTTGGCTATAATTTAGAGATATATATGATTGGAATTGATATAATTATCTATAATGATAATTATAGGTTAATTTGATATAATTATCTATAATGATAATTATAAATGAATTAAATCAGTAAATTTGAGAGAAAATGTTTTAAAGATGTTCTATAGATGGTTGGACAGTGTCATTGAAGCGACCAACATGAGTTTGGCCCAGCTCCGGGAGGCAGTGGAAGACAGGACGGCCTGGCGTGCTCTGGTCCATGGGGTCACGAAGAGTCGGACACGACAAAACGACTAAACAACAACAATAGATGGCACTTCAAAACTGGTAAAGGGGTTGTTAGAGATTAATTCAGTTTAAAATATTTTCAACAACTTCGGACTTTCTTATGTATAGGTGGTGGATAAGTGACAGAGTAAAACAATTTTGGAGATAGATAAAAAAGATATTTTATGTGGTCATAAATATTTAGAGTTATAAGGTTGATCTGGGATTAAAATGGGATAGCTTGTTAGAGATATTATCTGAGAATTTGAGAAGATATGTAAAAGAAAACTGAAAAATGTTTTGGATTGAACCCAGGAATAAACATGAGTAGAGAATATAAAATAGGTTAAAGATTTTAGTACTGTAACACAGTCAAGATAACATATTAGATTTGTACTATGGTAGACACTTCAAACTAGAAATGCTCTTGCTGGATATAATATTAGAATGTTGATTTGATAGATAGATAGATAGATAGATAGATAGATAGATAGATAGATAGATAGATAGATAGATAGATAGATAGATAGATAGATAGATAGATAGATAGATAGATAGATAGATAGATAGATAGTATAGTAAACATATGTATAAACATGAGTAGAGAATATAACATAGATTAAAGATTTTAGTACTGTAACACATTTATGCAGTCAAGGTTACATATTAGATATTGTAGTATGGTAAACTGCATGTATGTTTTGCATGTGTTGTTTCTTTTTCTGTTAAATAATTTTTTAAAAAAATTGCATCCCTAAGTATTTTGCAACCTGTTGCCCCTTGATGCTATGCCACTGTATGCAGGTTATAAAACGGGTGAGCAAAGAGAAGTGGGATGTGGTTTTGAAGGCAATTTTTGCAGCTTCCACCCCCAACTGCCTTTGAGCTGCGACTTGCCTTTTGGAAAGGTCACACACCCCTCTGGCATTGTTTAACAAACTAAAACAGGAAGTGAACTTTCTGTCACTATACGTTTCATTCTTTTGCCTCCACTTTGGGTTAGCATTTGTTGGCAGTTTGTGCACCCCATGGAGGAACTCCATGGCAGAAATTTGGCCCCTGGGAATGACCCAAGATGGCCCCGCCCTCCCTGGCTGGAAGAGAAAAGATTTCTTTCGTAGTGGAGAAATTCCTCATTTAACCCTCTATCAAGTTGTTTCAATTCCAGGTGTTCCTTTTCTCACTTAGATTCACTTATGTGCTTGGATGTGGCATTTGAACATAGCAATTCTTTTTCTACAGATTTCAGAAATCTTCCCTTATTTTGGAGCACAATTCCTAGAATCCACCTAGCTGAAATACAACTGAATGTAGAAACTGAGGCTGTCCTATTCTGGGCACATTACAAGAGTCTATGGAGAAGACAAAAATGCTGGGAAAGGCAGAAAACAGCAGGAAAGAGGAAAATTAAATACAAGATATATTATTCCCGAAAAGAAGCCATAGCTGTGAGTTTACAAGAGCTGAGTTGAAGACAGGAGATTATGGAGACTGCTCATTTATGGGGTCTCCTTAAGTCAGAGGTGACCTGGTGGCCCATAACAACAACACAGTCCAAAAAAGGAGTGCTCACCTTCTCTGCCTTACCCTTTCTCTGTAGTTCAAGATCCCTATTGCACATTTCCCTAAAAATATGAAGTTGCTTTTGTCTTTGTCCTTTTTTTGCATCACCTATGAGTTTTAGAAGAGAATTATTTTAACAGTGGTGGGACTGCAAGTCAGATTCACTGAATTGGACACCAAACAGTTAAAAATATATCTTAAGAACTAGGTATTCACAAGGCAACCAAACATCAAATAAATACACCCTAGGGCTCAAAGTGCTCCTTCTGATAACATCAAAGGGAGGGCATTGTCTCTAGCAAAATACCGACGCCGCTGTCAATAATCCCAGTGCATCTTGAGAGCAGCAAAGAAGAATGAGTGTTACAGAAGACACAGAAACTATTAGAACCTTGTTTCGGCAGCAGCATGGCTTTCTCATGTCAAAGGTAGGAGCCATGGGCAATCCCCATACAGATATTAAAGCCTGCAATGACTTTTAAAGCTTCAATTTGTTCGTGAGTGTCTGGAATTTAAAAAAAAACCAAACTATTTTCTGGACACAATTCATTAAATATTAGCAGATGATTTCTCTTCTTCAAATGTTGGCTAGTTCTTGTTCTCACTGCAAGTGAAGTCAGAATGAAGCAGACAGGAATACTGCATTAAAATGATGTGCTTTTTAAAAGGTACTGGATAAAAATTTTGGGGAATTAAACACCAACTAATTCATGTTGCTTCGCGAAGGCTCTGAATCATTTCCACCCCCATTACTTTTGTCATTCTACTGTTTGTGTAGAGTGGGCTTTAATTTGCTCTGTTATCATTCAACAGGCAGGCAAGACTTTTTTAAAAAATATCACAGGAGTCCTATCCTGTCAAGAACTGAAACTTCATATACCAGTTCCATTGAAGATTTCAGTAAGAGCCTGATTGGAACTGCTTTGTTTTGAACAAGGCCCACCAGGACACCCCAAACACAGTAATGGACAAAATGTTCCCTGGCTTCCTTCTTCCTTCAGAAACATCTGCATTTCTAGTACCTGTATTGTATTTATTCACTTCTGCATGGGCACACACATTTAAAAATAGATAAATATTTAAAGATTGCAGTAACTGTCACTTTTGTCCCTACATTATTCCAACTTTCCCCCCAGATTATGTTCACTGCCTGTGAGTTGGGAGTATTTGATCTGCTCTTGGAGTCAGGAGAACCCCTGAGCAAAGGGGCCATTGCCGAACGCCTCAGCACCAGCCCCAGTGGAACGGAGAGGCTGCTGGAGGCCTGTGTGAGCTTAAAGCTCCTGAGGATGGAGAGGAAGGACAGCGAAGGTAAGCATGCTGGGAGAGAGTGCTTGAAGCGCTTTGGGGCAGTATATAAACAGCACGCTTTGCTATTTTTTTGCGTTGTTTGTTGGCAAAATTTGTGTTTTCAGCTTGTCAAGAATTATGATCAAACTTTTCCCGAGGTTTTATAGCATCTCCTCTCCCTTCCTTTTCTTTTCAGGACTTTATGGTAACACAAACCTTGCTAATCTCTATCTTGCTAAATCAAGCCCAAAAACTCAGTATCATTACCTGAAGCACTCCTCGGAAGTCGTCTATCCAGGTCTGCAGTTCTTGACTGACATTGTGAGGTGAGCAGGTTAATACAAACATAGAACAAGCCACACGGGACCATGTCGTGTGACCACAGGCATATCCCTGAGTGAGCGAGGGAGGTTTCCCCACTAGGGCTGAATTCCAATTGCTAGTCCCAAATTGTGGAGACCCACAGACTCCAAGGGATGTGGTGGCGCTGCAGGCTAAACTGCAGAAGCCTTTGTGTGCTGCAGGGTCAAAAGACCAGCAGTTGTAACATCGAATCCATGCGACGGAGTGAGCTCCCGTCGCTTTGTCCCAGCTCCTCGCCAACCTAGCATTTTGAAAGCATGCAAATGCAAGTAGATAAATAGGTACCACCTCGATGGGAACGTAAATAGCGTTCCGTGTATAGCCGCGCTGGCCATGTGACAATGGAAACTGTCTTATTTTTAAAATTGTGATAAATTAATTTTCTGGGTATTTATATTATATGCAAATTAAATAAAACTTAAAGTGTAAGTGTTATAACACGTTAGTTGCTCCAGAACACAGATTCTACTACTTTTCTTAGAACATTTACTGCTTATCTAAAATTATTTTGGGCAATTTGTTTATTCAGATGTTAAGGGCAACCTCGCAATACCCTTAAACGAGACCCTCTTAAGGGTAAAGGGTTTTTAAACATTATTTCTCAGCTGAGATGGATCTTAACCTTCTATTCCTGCCATTGCTATAGTATACACATTGATATGAATGGAATGCAGCACGATAGATACATCGCAAAACTTATGTGCTCGAAACAAAACTTTTCAATTCTATTTCATCCACCCTACTTAAGTAGGAGGAAAGCAGGGCAACTGATATTTCTACAACTCTGCAGTATGTTATTCTGAATGGGCTTTACATAGGAATGACTGAAAAGTTTTGAGGCCAAAAACTATATGTTTCACTTGAAGTGGATGGGGTTAGGGTTAGGGGGGAATCTTTCATACATTTAAATACCACTGTGCATTATGAAATCTGATTTCAAAACTGTTGTATTAAACTTCAGTTGGTGGTTCTAAAAAGTGCTGTTGGAGGTGGGAGAAGTGTGTGACATTTGGTATATAGGCTGTTTATTTTTCTTTATATTAATGCAAATCATCTCTTTCAGGGAAGGGGAAGGACTATTTAAGAAAACACATGGCATGTTACCAAACAGTTGTTTTGAGGCTGTTTACAGGTAAAAAGACCAAAATTTTTGGTATTGTTTTTGAGAGAAAGGTCCAAATGTGGAATCAAACCACAATTAAGCTATTCTATGCCCTCGTCTTTCTTTACATGCTGTGTTAGTGCAGCTGTCTATAACTCAGAAATCCCTACATACTCAAAAGATCTACACAAATATTGCCACTTGCTTCAACAGAGATATCCATTTTCGTATAATTTTACATATGTGGTTGGTGCCCCACCCTTGCCATAAGGTGGTTGAATAACACTTACCAAGACACCTCGTTCCAAACTCCAGATCAGACACAGGTTTACCATATTTTTAGAAGAGGTGAAAGAAATATGTTTCTCATAGCACATTTCTGTCCTCGTTTCCCTGCATTGTATGTAGTGTGCTTTGTTTTGTGATTGGTAAGTGGAATTTAAACACAGACTTGATGACTGAAAATGTCCCAGTCCTGATTTCATTTCATTTTCCTCATCCTTGCTTTATATTGAATTTTTTCTTTCCATATCAAAATTCACATACATTTTGGTGCGTTTTTCCTAAACAGAGCACTTATTTACACATTATGTAATGTACACATTTTCTCCATTGATTACAACATGTTTCTATGTGGATTCTTCAAACACATATATTTTGGCTATTTGCTTTGCAAATGTGGACATTTTCACTCTTGAGAAGAACTTCTTCTTTCAAGACTGTTTTATCCAGTGCCATTCTTTTTCATTCCTGTCTACATCAGATTGTAGGAGTGTTATCTGCCATTGAGCTTTTCAATTTTTAGAACAGAGGAAGAAGTGCAAAGATTCTCTGATGCCATGGATGATGCCTGGAATTTGCATGGTAGAGAAGTGATGTCTGCATTTAGTCTTTCTCAATTCCCACTCATTTATGATCTGGGAGGTAAGATGTATGAATTCTCAGCTAACTTCCATTGCGGATAACTTGAAATCATATTATTGTATAAATTGAGAGGGGGTGTTGTAGGATGACCACCCTCCCCCTTTACCCTACATCCTTGTGAATCTTTTGTTGTAAAATCTGCATTGCATTAAAAACTGAGCCTGAGTTGGCCAATCATTGCTCAGGAGTTTCCCTTTATTAAATGTTATCATTAAATATTATCAGCAGTTACCTCTTTTGTTCAGGAAATTATTGATCATTCTTAATGAATGAGCTGGCTGGAATATTTGGTGAGATGCATACCAGAGGCACTATTGGGGTTGGATTCCCCCTTGTGTCTCCCAGAAGAGCCAGCCTGGGTACCCTTGGGTGAGGAACATAGTCACAGGGCTGATAAACCCCTAGAAGAAGGAACTGATAAACCACTTCTGAATACTCTAGACCTCAAAAGCCCTGGAAATTATTGACATGTCAGAACTGACTTAATATCACTTTATTACGGTGGTGGTTGGTGCTGTTGCTCTTAGATGGCCACAAGTCAAGGAACTAACTATATAGGTGGTTGTAGATTGAGGAACATAGTCACAGGGCTGATAAACCCCTAGAAGAAGGAACTGATAAACCACTTCTGAATACTCTAGACCTCAAAAGCCCTGGAAATTATTGACATGTCAGAACTGACTTAATATCACTTTATTACGGTGGTGGTTGGTGCTGTTGCTCTTAGATGGCCACAAGTCAAGGAACTAACTATATAGGTGGTTGTAGATGTGGAAGTCTATCTGGACAAGATAATTTGTTCCCTTTCCCTATCTGTCCCTTCTGGGATTAGGAATAATGTCATCAAACTGTATGCATGTAAAAAAACAAAAAAACAAAAAACCCTGCAGTTTGAAGAAGGAAGATAGACTGAGTACAGACCGACAGGAAATCTGAAAGGATCAGAATGATAAAAACTTCTCCTGTAGAGGATGTGATATGTGAAGTGTGGCCTTTGTATGTCTGTTGGAACGTGTGATGCTGTACCTTAAAGCTATGCCAAGTCTCTGCATTTGTAAACAAATGAAATATTACACGGTGCTCTGAGTCACCAGGCTGCCTCACCTCAAAGATAATTGAATTTGCTGAAGTGTTGCGCTTCTGGATATTCATATTGTTTCAAGACCTGTAGTGAACAGACCACCGTGGAATTTGTAAGATAACCAGGTGAATGCCCCTGACCAGTTCAGGTGATTTTGCAGTTAATTGGAGTGTGGGTGGGGTTTGACTACATTGGCCATTTACCCACAATGTACATCAGATTCGGCACAGATGAATTCAGATTAAGGCCCATTATGCTGATCTCATAACCAGGAAGCTGTGTTCCCAGAAGGGCCAAGATATGTGATTGTAAAAGGACATCAGTTCCCTAGCTATGCAACTTGCATTTCCCCTGCTTTATTATGTGCTTTGGCAGGAAAAAGTCAGAATAGCCTGTGATCTGAAATTTAATAAGGAATAAGGTTAGCAGGATACAAAGGGCAAAATGCTAGGTTGGATAATCTTAGAAAGAAAGATTTGAGAAGGATCTTTTGCACAGCAGAGAAAGTGCAGACAGGCAGGAGAATGATCCAGAGAAACACACATTAATTGACGGATTTTTGTATATTACCTGTGTGGATATGATGGTTAATCTAGCCATTGAAAAACTTACACTACCCTGGAGATGCAGGTGATGAAATTCTAATCCTTTTCCTACATAGCGTAATCTTCCATGCCTACAGTCTATAATACTGTATATTCCCTCTCCCCCGAAATTATTGTTCCACCAGGTTCCTCTTTGTATTGCTCTCGTTCAGCCTTGTTTTTCTGCTCCCTGTGTATTTGTGGTACTACTTTACTGTCAA